GTTGTCGCTGACGCCCCAGTAGCCCTTGGAGACCATGTCGTAGTTGAGGTAGGTTAGGAGGTTATCGATGTCGGCGGCGGGGAGGTTGCTGGCGTAGTACTTGGATCCAAGCAGGCCGTTCTCCTCGGCACCCCACCAGGCGAAGCGGACCTTGTTGCGGAAACGGAACTTCTGGAGATTCTTGAAGATCTCGAGGATCAGGCTGGTACCGGAGCCATCGTCGTTGATACCGGGACCGGCCTGAACGGAGTCGAGATGGGCACCGAGCTGAGAAGAGGGTTAGCAGCTGGAAATGGAGCTTGTTGGGAGCGACGCCAGACTCACCATGATGACGTTGTGGGGGTCGCCCTCCTCGGTCTCGACGAAGAGGTTCTGGGTGATCCTCTCCTCGACGACCTGGGTCTGCTGGAAGTAGGCCTCGATGGTCTCACCGGCCTCGATGCGGGCGATGATCTTCTCGCCGTCGGCCTTGTGGATGAAGCCGGCGGGCGCGTAGGCCTCGAGGTTGACCTCACCCATGGAGCCTGCGGTAGGGGTGGTGGTGAGGTCGTGGTAGATGATGACACCAGCAGCGCCTGCGGCCTTGGCAGGGCGCACACGGCCGGCGAGGGTGCCACCGGTCGGGCACCGATAGCGCTGGGTCAGAACGATCTTGCCAGCGACATCGAGGCCCTCGTAGTTGGCGGCGTAGCAGCCGGCCTCACCGGCGGGACCAAGCACGATCTCGGCGGTGACACCCTCGGGAGGCGTCGACGGCGAGTAAGTGATGCCGTAGATGTAGAAATCCTCTTCGCCGATCTTGAACGAGATGGACTCGACCTGGCCGAACCACGCGGGGAAGTCTTGCTTCCAGGCCTTGGTGGCGGGGATGTTGGAGATGTGCGACCAGATGTAGTCGACCGAGGCGGCATAGCCGGGCAGACCGAAGGCGCGGTTGCCGTTGCCCTTCTCGAAGGCAATGTCGTTGAGAGCAACGAGGTGGCTCCAGAGGCTGGAGAAGGTCAGACAAAGCATTTGGTAGGGGATGAGGGGCCCCTTGCTCACTTCTCCGTCTTGATCTCGGCCTGGAACTTCTCAGACTCGAGCTTGGGCTTGCACTCGGTGGCGACGACAGCCGAAGCCAGCGAGAGCGCGGCGGCGGCCTGGTGGGAGAACTTCATCGTGACGACTGGGAGGGATCTGCGATGACGCCTGGAGGGATGGCAAGCAAGACGGCAAACGACGGGGACACACAAGACCGGTGAGCGGCGGGGAGTCGAGACGATTAAGTAGCTGTTACTTTTTTTGCGCATCCGTCTTCCTGGATCCAGCAGGATGGCGAGCCCGACTGAAGCCGGGCCCTCTTCCAGCGTTCCATTGCAGATCGAAAGAGGGTCGGGTCTGGCAGTTGCTTCATTGGGAAGGTCGAGAGGCTGGCGACGGATGTGCCAAGCACATCCCAAGGGCTTGCCCGGTTGGTGTTACTGCGGGGTCGCTGTGGTGCGGTCTGGCCGGCGGGGCTGACCAAGCTGCCACTGGGAGTGGTTCGCGATGCTCGAGGGGCAAGGTTGATGATTAATTCGGCTCAGAGATGGACGAACTGTACCGTAACTTCCGGCAATTCTCATGGACGGCCTCGTCATGCCCCATTCCTTCCAGAATGTGCAAAAGTCTCCTGGCTGTAGGCCAGCGTCCTCATCTGCAGATGCCCTGACACCACAGCCTAGCGCCCCAGAATCCGCAGGCCTGTCCCCTGTACGCCCCCCCAAGACCGACTCGAACCCCGAAGTGGCGAGTGCTGGGGCGATCGGGCACCAGCATCAGATAGGCAGGTGGGTGGCTCTCGGTCGATAGAGCGCGCCCTGGTCATTGGACAATGCTTTCTCTCTGTTGGAGTTCCTCCAATGCTGACCGACAACTTCGAAGGTGCCTGCGGAGGTGGCGCCGGGAGTCGGTCGCGGGGCTTCGGTGGTGGCGGCGCCCCAACCGTGGCCAAGTCCACGTCGTGCTTCTAACCAACGAAGCTTACTAGCCAACCACAAACCCTTACCTAAGCCAGATGTGAGGCTAGGGAGTGCGGCGCTGACACCGGCCGGTTATGGCTGTGACATTCAGGGTGCACACACCACACCATGCCCCACTCCGTGATAGCTTCACTTTCACTGCCTGGTCCCAGGGTGGGCCTCGCTCAGCTACCAAACCGTACGTTTCCTCCACTCTTTGTACTTTAGACACCTGCCCAGGTGAATGGGGTAGTCATGAGTAAACCAATACATTCAAAATCGCAGTCTGAGGAAGAGATGCAGCCCATGTGTTCAAGCCGGAAACAAGCAGGAACATGTGCCGCACCTGTGTATAGACCGGCCCAATACATGACGCGGGACCCATCCAATTGTACCTTCACACCTAAGACAAGCCATTCTATGCCCAGTGTACCTGCTCCCGCACACGCAAATTGGTCCCAGCTCTCTGCTTGTTCCCCATCCCTCGACGCTCAAGTGCCCACATTCAACAGGAACCCCGCCCACCGTCAAGAGACCAGCACCGTCTGCGCTCGCCATAGTTGATTCCCTAAATATCGTTGGCGTCCACGTAGTAATCATGAAACATCGGATCCTGATCATTGTCTGCGTACAGCTCCTGGATATCGTCGGCGAGGTCCGACTCCGAGGACACTGAGGATGTGTCGTCTGCAATTTCCATCTCATTTGCCCTAAGATCCCTCTCATCGTCAGATGCAGATGGCGACCCCACCTGCAGCCAGATAACGTCCGGATACTCTTCTCGAGCATCACGAATTTGGGCATTCGTTTCGAAACCCACAGGGCAGGGGTCATTGAGCTTCCGTCGCATATACTTCAGGGTGGGCAGAGGCGGCTTAGGGGAATAGTGGTACGGGTACCGACAGGGCATGACCGCAAGGTATTTAATCCTCACACCACCCGAGTCTTCTCCGGGCGGGGCCTTGCGAATCGCCCTTAAAGCTATGTTCGGATTACATAGCCGGCGATAAGGGAAGTTGCACCGAATGGGCCTCTGCCTGCTGCTATCTCTCTGATGGTGTGCTCGACAAGCTCGATGTGCTCCTCCCAACAGTGCCCTATGTCGTCGGGCAGGGCGGGTAGTCGCTGCCTATCCCACTTAACCATTGCTCGGGTCCAAGCTATGGTTTTGAAGACAAAATCTTTGGAAGAGCCTTGTGGACTGTATCAGGTCCTCTTCAGGTTCAAAGACCACAGAGTAGGGTTTGTTGGGCATACTAAGCTCGAAGAGTCCTGCTTCAGTTGCTAGTATCTCGCCGGCTGTTCTCATCATGAATATAATCCCATGACGATGATAGAGGTTTCGCCAGAGGGAGAGGTGACGAGTAATGCGGATGCTTGGATTTGCGACGCAAAAGGGGATGAGTCCGTGGGAATAGTTCTTATGGAGGGCTTCGCGGTTCTTAGCGAGTGATATATGGCGGATGTTTGATCGGACCTAATTGCAAGACGATTGTAGAAAGCGCACTGCAGAGAACGCAGCCGATACACGGCCCATCGCTGGTAATACCTATTTCTCCTTTCGCGGACTTGGACTGCTGCCGCCGAGTACGGACCACAGCGCGGTAATGTCTTCGTCGGTTGGGATCATCCAGCGGCGATCATCGAAGTTGGCGACGGCAACTGCGTCGAGGGGACCGAGATCCAGGTTGGTCATTCGGAAGCGGAAAGGTAGCGGGCCGACGGGCCTGAAGTCTGTCGAATCCAATTCCGATATGTCTGTCGCCAAGGATTCTTCGAGAACGCGGAATTCTCGTCGGAGAAATGTGTCGGCATCGCTTCTGAGCACATCGCCAGTTGTAGACGCAAGCTGCTCCAACATATCACCAAGAACCGATACACGGTCTTCGCGATGCCTGCTGCAAAGAGAGGATTCTCGGAGCCTTCCATGGTCGTCATAATTAACGAGAACCTCGATGGAACCTCGGGTATCGGGTGGAAGTGGCGGCTAGAGCGTCGGTGGCAACACGTGATGAATAGGCACTGGCCAGTATGAGAAGTCGGATACGGTCCAGCAATTCGAGGCCCTGGCGCCAGGCCCTATCCCTGTGGCGGTGAACGTCGGTATAGTAAGTCTTGAAGTGAATAGTGTTGGAACGAAGCACAGGACCTTCCATTTCCGATGCGATCAACTTGCAGGTCCGTGCCAGCGGTATATCGATGGGTGCATTGCGGTTATCAAGGAGCTTCCCGCTGTCGTAGTCGTAGTGGAGGCAGCCCGGGTACGTGACACAGGCTGCGTAGATGAGGCGGCGGATATCCTCTGGCGCCTCCAAGAGGTGGCATCGGGATTGCGAAGGCATCGTCGGGGAAGGTGAGGGGCTCGGCAGGGGCCGATCGATACAGGGGGGCCCTTGGTTGGGGTTGTTGGTGGTGGTGTGTGGTGGTAGAGATGAACATGGGAAAAGACGGCCTAGTGCCAGGATCCCTTCGTCTCAGCCCAAGCCTGGCCGTTGGCAATAATGGCTGCCTCCCTCTCCCTCTCCTTTTCGACGCGACGGCGGCCCGTGGCGAAGCCGTCGACCGGGAAGTTGGCCAGCGCCTATTGTGCAGTCTTCTGTGGCTCATTGAAGAAGACACATTTGCGAACTTCGTGCGTCAGCTCTCCGTGTCCATGACGACGAGGCGGTTGCTGCCGCTGCCGCTGGCCCTGGCTAGCAGGCCCCTCAGTGCGGCATGAGGCTGCAGGAACTCATGTCGGCGGTGATCCAGCTCCGAACAGTCGATGAGCATGTGCATCGCCGACTGCCTCTCGGCGCCGCAGGTGCAGGCGGGCGACTTCACGTTATCCATCTTTGAAGTCGAACAAGTGGGCGTTGAGCATGACGGTTTCAGTGCGCAGCTGCAGCAGGGCGCTGGACTCGTGGCGCGCCAAGACCCCGGATTGATCCTACATAAAGAATGAGCACAGGTCGTTGATTGGCTCGCTCATTTTATAATGACATGATTTCATTGTGTGAGCAGCTTTTCAACAAACAAGGTCGCTTAACTCAGTTGGTTAGAGTGTCGTACTAATACGCCGGTTCCCGGTCCCTGAAATGCGAAAGTCGCCAGTTCGATCCTGGTAGTGACCACATCATCTTTTGCCTGCTGCAGCGAACGGGATGGTTGCTTTTTGCCCCTACAACCGACGAAAGCAGCCCCATTTGACGGCTTCGTACGAAGTCGCTATGAACGCGATTCTCAGACATCCGATACTAAACTTTGCCTCATTGACAGCTTTGTCAATCGTCAAAGGGGGGCGGGCGGCAGGAAGGAATCCGCAAAGCCACCGCACCGCCACACCAATCCCCAGAGCGCCACAGCAGCCCGAACTTTCTAGCATCTTCTCATTTTGAATCCATCTCAAACAACAACTCCACCAGCCCATCACCACCTCCTGAACTTCCTCATTCCCTCCACCAACAACATGCTCAAAGCGATCCGCTACCTCAGACCTCGCCAACTAGTCTCCTCTCCTACCACAAACACGTTCTCTCGCAACATGAGCGACAGCAAACCCCCCTCGACTGCGCCTCTAGCGCTTCCTTCCTCAGAAACAGCCACCAAGGACAGCCCGACGACGCTGAAGGTCGGATCAACAGCCACAATGGATGCACTCGGCCCCGTGGTGATCAACGTCGATGGAACCATATCCCGCATCAACAACTGGGCGGAACTGAGCGAGATTGAGAAGCAGAACACACTACGCATCCTGGGCAAGCGGAATCGGGAACGGCGTGAGGTCCTGTTGGCCAAGGCGGCCGAGTCAGAGGCAAAGAAGGATGGAGAGGCAAAGTAAGATACATGAGGGTATCGGGAGGCGATTCTTCGCTTTGCAGACGGGTATGGTCAATCTCGAAGCGCGCATGCATGGACCAAGTTCTGATTTGGGGCTCCGGCCAAACGGACCGCCACCAAGAGGCAGAAGGGATACAGCGACAGGATGGAGCAGAAAGCGAATCTCATCAAACTATCAAAGATTAATCGACGTGGTTTCACCCACACACCTTGTGGTGCGAATCAATCCTCGACGCAGGTTTCATCCATGATGCCCGGATAATGGCACGTCCTGGAAACGCAGCTTAAGTTCTTTGCAAGGTGACACAACAGAGAACACCAACTTTTATCTCACTCTGGCTGTTTTACTTCCGGCCGGCCAACATCGAAGCCTGACGAGCATGATAAAACATGTGCTGGATCTATCTGTCTCCCGTGTCGGACATCTTGACAATGAGGATGCCAGACATCGAGTCTTCGACAATTCTCAGTACTTCGACGCCGATTCGAGACTTTCGGATGGACGCGACAGTGGCTAGGTTCTGGTCCTAGAACAAGAGGATGCATCAGTGTTAAGGAGAAGGTCACATCAATGACCTGAACAGTCAGATCGTCGACAGATCCCAGCCGTCACCAGCTGCGCTGGCCAGCATACCCGAAAGTCACGTACCCCCCTGAATGAACCCCTGAGCTAGTGGCGCTGCAGCCTATCCGAATGGGCCCAAGTCGCGGCGGTCAAGGCACCAACGCGTCTCCTCTTCAGCTCGGAGGACAAGCTGGGTCCTCGTGCCGCCCTCGCGATCCAGAGGCGGGGTTTCTGCCTGCAATCCATCAAGAGTCGATGGGGGTTCGTTCCTGGCCTTTCGGTTGGACGACATCCTTAAAAGGTGCCTTTCCTGTCTTCGTGAACAAAACCTCGAGCAAGCCGCGGACTTTTCTCAAAGCAAAACAGCCACCATCTCAACAAACGACTCACACCTACCCCTCACTGCCCTTATCGTAGGTGCTCGCTCAGTACCAAACCCAATCATCCGAAACGACCATCACTGATCAATCACGAAAAGAGACCGTTATTTACAATGGCTACAGCCCCTCTTGACCTGCCCGGTCATGGCAAGCCTCTGGATGACATGGGAGATGACGACTGGTACAGCCGCCGGTTCCCAACGCTCCTGACGGACGAGTTCCAGGCGCCAACCCTGACCATCCGCGAGTTCTTCATGCTCTGGTGCGTCGAGCAGATCACCAACAAGCCCGGCTGGAACACCAAGGTCTTTGACGACGAGATCCTCGCCAAGTGGAAGAATGAGGTCGAAGATGCACCCTGGAATGAGGTCACCGGCTTCCGCGAGGGCGGGCCCTGCTCGGACGAAATGTGGCAGTTTGTGAGTGACTGGCCTGCAACCCCTGTACCGCGATCATCTTCGCGAGCTTAGCCCCATCTGATCTATGCTGACACCTCGCCGGAAGATTGTCAAGGAGCTCCAGCACAAGGCCAAGCTGTACGAGGCTACTGGGATCATTCCAATCTTCGACACGGACAACACGGTCATCAAGTCAGACACGCTCGTCGATGAAGAGCTCAAGCTAGACCTCAGGCACGCTGTCGCCGCCCTCGAAAACGTCCCCGACAAGGACAAGGACTGGCACCCGCGCAGCGACGGGAAGGTCCTCGACCTCGTCCACCCTTCTCTCTGGCCGCTCACTTACGGCCGCTCCCGTATCTCCAACGACCCCATCACTCTCGAATCCTGCCTCGACAAGTGCGGGGCTGGCGAAATCATCCCGCACCCCAAGGCTGCGCCGCCCCGATACCCCGAGGGGTCCTGGCAATATCACGACAACTCAGGCAGCCTCTGGTCCAACCGCTACCAATGGCTGCCCTGCGACGTCGATATCAGTGGATCCCCCAAGATCGTGAGTTATATCAACAACCTTCACCCCGTCCGTCACCGCGATCTCTACGGTATCATCGAACGGTTCGTCGGCAAGAGCCTACCTCTCTGGGACCAGATCTATCGACGGCCGCACCAAGCGCGCAGCCTTGACGCCAAAGCCGAACTTCGCATCCAGTGCAAGAGCGTCAGCAAGGAGTGTACGACCACCGACATTTGCGAAGAGAGCGACAATGGGTGCGATCCGGCTAATCGCCCCCTCGACGAGGGCGAGGATGAGAGGATCGACGAGCAGGAGTACTGGGAGCTCGACAAGGACCACCCCCTCAAGGTCAAGGATAACGAATGGTTCTTGGAGACTCATCCCTGCGAACAGCCGGAGCCGCTTCCCTTTGAGGAGTCGAGCTTCCTCAAGATCGATCCCGAGGACATCCAAACCAAGGATTTCTTTGCGCTCAAGGCCCCTGAGTTTTATCCAGCACACTTGAAAAAGCCGGACATACCCCCTCGAACGCGCATCCAGGTCATCGTCAAGCTCGCAAATATTCACCTCACGCCCGAAAAGCCGAAGTACGACGGCGGGTCCTGGCACATCGAGGGCCAGATGAACGAGCACATCTGCGCAACGGCCCTGTACTACTATGACAACGAGAACATCACCCCGTCGCACCTCGCTTTTCGCACCGTCGCCAACGAGGAGGATCTCCAGTTGGAGCTGGGCTACGAGCAGAGCGACTTCCACTCCATCAATGGCACCTTCGCCATCGATGCGGACGGCAACACCCTCCAGGATATCGGCCGCACCCTGACCCCCGAGGGCCGCCTTCTCGCCTTCCCCAACGTCTACCAGCATCGCGTGTCGCCCTTTGAGCTCGTTGACAAGACGCGTCCCGGCCATCGCAAGATCCTGGCCCTCTTCCTCGTCGACCCGTCCATCCCCATCATCAGCACTGCCCATGTCGCCCCTCAGCAGGCGTCTTGGTGGCTTGGCGAGGATGGCATTGCCGCCCGCAGCGGCGAGATGGCCAAATTACCACGCGAGATCGTCGACATGGTCAACGATAACATGGATTGGCCGATTCCACTCAGCGAGGCAAAGGCTCGGCGCTTGGAGCTCATGGACGAGCGCACGCAGATGGACAGCATGATCGACCACGTCGTCAGCGATGCCACTTGGAACTTCTGTGAGCATTAGAAGTGTGCTTGCTGGTCCCTGGATGACATTGCCTCTTCGGTTTCTTTCGGTTTGGCGACGAGCTGGTGTGGGTTTCGATGAAGGACTGAACTGTTTTCGTTGAGTCAAGTTCTGGTATCCGCTGTTGGCCTTTCCAACTTGCCATGGTCATGTCAGCTATTGGAGGTCGACGTTGGGACTGGATGGGGTTTCATCGCGTGCAATTGTGCCCTACAGATGTCTTCACGGAACGGATTTAACCCAGCCATCGTTATGATACATGTGTAAGACAGTCCTTGATCACTCCTTGACCCCGTGAATGTTGCTAGCAGGTAGACCGTGAGGATGAGACCTTGACAACTGACTGTGAACTCTGACTTGTCTTCATGCTGCAGCCACATCTGGTTTCGGCGATGTCTCCCCAATTGTTCATTTGCGCAAATGATAGAAGCTGAGAAGAACCAACGGAACTGCCGATAGCTCTGAGGTCATCGAAATCCAACCAAAGACTGGAGCAACACCCAAGTCGGAAGGTCGCATCGCGATGCCCTTGCGCGACGAATCAAGGCATTCCCGAACGATTGACCCTGATCCCAGATGCCGAGCACGAACGATCAGCACTTCAGCAACCAATCCAAGGGGGGTTGTTTATTTTTGGCCCGCCAGCTTAGGCTGGAAATCGACCATGGCCCGCGATTCAGGGATGTCAAGACCCGTATTCAATATCGAAATTGTGGTTCATGCGAACAGACCCGGCATGGAATACGAGCCGAACGAGCCGGGATCAGTCCTTGACGATGGATACAAAAGCGATCACGGCTGCTCCGATGACTGTGGAATGCGGTAGAGCATCTCTTTATCGCGATATTCGAAATGGCCGGAAAGTTCGTCACATCCCTCGGCCTTGTTGGCCTCGTCGGTGCTGCCGCCTTTGATGCGCGCCAGGCCCGACCCGCCAAGCGAGGTTGCCTGGTTTCGGATGATGGCCCTGTCCAACAAACAGCACGATCGATGCTGCCGAGGCAGGCCGCAGCCAACCTGCCCAGCAACTTCACGGTCGACGTGCACTTCCACCTTGCCAGCACCGAGGAGGACGAGAACCTCATCACCGACGCCATCGTCAACGCGCAGTGGAAGGTCCTCCACGACGCCTTTGCCCGCTTCAACATCAACCTCAACCTTGCATCGACGGAGCGCGTCGTGGACAACAAGACCGGCCAGGCCTTCCTCGTCTACGAGGGCCCCG